AAAAAAAAAAAAAAAAAAAAAAAAAAAAAAAAAAAAAAAAAAAAAAAAACCAATGAATCAAACAACCATATTGTTTCCACAGATAATTATTCGTGCAAAAAGTGCAGCGGCCGTTGCTTCAAGGAGTGCCAAGGCACCGTAGTGGACAACATGAACTCGGCCCAGAAATTGCGCGGCTGTACCTTCATCAACGGTAGCCTCGAGATAGCGATTCGCGACGCGACTAACGTCGTCAAGGAGCTCGAGATAAGTCTCAGTCAGATCGAGGTGATAGCCGGCTACCTCCGCATATTCCGCAACTTTCCCCTCGTCTCGCTCAACTTTCTCAAAAGCCTCACCGAGATACGGGGCAACCACCTCGACATGAAGGAGTACAGTCTGGTCGTTCTCAACAACCCGAACCTCCAGGAGCTCTGGGACTTTACCAATCGCTCGCGGCTCAACATCTCGGCGAGGGCCGGCAACGAGCCCAAGGTGCTTTTCCACTACAACTCCAAGCTCTGCTATCAGGTACGATCTTTTTTCTTTGTTGTTGTTGTTGTTTTTGTTGTTGTTTTGCGGTTAAATACTCGTGCAAGTTGATCACTCCTTTGCATTGCCGACCGAGCACAGGCGATTGAACAGCTGCGCGAGCAGACCGGGCTCAAGCCGTTCAGCGAGATCGAGGTGTCGACGTCGAGTAACGGGGACCGTGCCTCCTGCAACATCACGACACTCAAGAGCGAAGTTGTCAATACCACCTCGAAAGTCGCCCTTGTCATCTGGGAGGCGTTCAGGCACCACGACGCCCGCAAACTGCTCGGCTACACGATCTACCTGAAGGACGCGCCCGTTCAGAACGTTACCCTCTACGAGTCGCGTGACGCCTGCGGTGGCGACGGCTGGCGCGTCCTTGACTTCATATCCGAAGACGATACGACACCCTACATGGTACCAGCCAACGCGCTTGAAGACCTCTCGACCAACGTCAACTCCACGGTGTACAACACCGACAAGAGCAAGTGAGTACATACTTATTCTTTGTTCCCGCAAATTTGCTCGAATGACAAGAGCTACATGTTACATTGTTGGATAAAAATATTAAATAATTTTCTCTCTCTGCAACAGCGTCACCCTTAAGAGGTTTCTAACCGATCTGACGCCGCACACGCAGTACGCGTACTACGTGAAAACCTACATGATATCGGGGGAGCGCTCGGGTGCCCAGAGTCCGATCAAGTACTTCAGGACCCTGCCCGGTCAGCCATCCCCCGTGAGAGCTCTCGCGGTTTACGCGAGCAAAAGTGACACCCTCGTGATCGAATGGCTACCACCCACCGAGCCCAACAGTGTACTCACGCACTACAAGGTCTCCGGCGTTCTCGACACCTACGACATGAATCTGTTCAAGTCCAGGGACTACTGCGAGGAGCGTAAGTCTGCCCATGTGTATTTTTGTATTTCTCTTTCGAGAGGTCCCGGACCCAACGTCTTACAAATGGCTTTTTCTGCTCACAGCAATCAGGCCGGAGTTCAAACTTCCCCAAGATGTAGCTGCCGAGGGCAAGGAGAAGGCCCAAAAGGAGCTGCAGGCGTCCAAGGAGCCCGAGTCGGTTCCGTGCTCTTGTGCCAAGGCGGCTCCTGTCCAATCGGAGAACGACGTTTACACGACTATCGCTTTCGAGGACGCGCTGCACAACCAGGTCTACGTCAAGCGCAACAGCCGGCGTAGGCGCGACACTTTTCCCACGAGCTTCATGCTCGAGAGCGTGAGGGCGAAGCGCGGCATCAACTCCTTGCAGGTGCGTCTCGAGGATTTCAATTAAAATGGTTGCCATGTGTGTCATTGTGAGACGACATTGTTATTTTAGGAAAAGGACGTGATAAGTCACAACAAGAAAACCGACGATCTCGAGACGAAGAAGCGCGATCGTACGGATCTGTTGAAGAAACCGGCCGAATCTGGTATGAACGATAACGGCAAGAGTTTCGTCTTCATAGTGTCGGCTAATCAGACGCGCCTCGTCATACCCAATCTCCGTAACTACGGCAAGTACCATATCGCGGTGTCGGCCTGCCGTGATGCGAACACCAACAAGCTCGAGAAGGAATGCTCGAACCAGGCGGTCAGGTCGTACCAGACGCTGCGCAAAATGCTCGCCGATGATATTCCGGCCGGCTCGTTACGGTTGATCAAGTTGTTCGTCAACAATTCGACCCCGATGATCAAGCTCACCTGGCAGGAACCGCCCCATCCCAATGGCATCATCGTCTCGTACAACATCGAGTACAAGAGGGTCGACGTATCTGGCGTGAGTTTATTTAAGCTCTCGAAAGCTCATGATCTGCTTAAGTTTTTTTCCCGTTTATCGTTGCTCTTCAAAGAAAAATTAATAACAATCAATCTCTCAGGACTTTATTCCATGGCACACGCGTACACTCGTTAAGCTCTCCGAGTACCACACAAGTCGCATTAAAACGATTTTTTACTCATTTTAGCACAAGAAGGACACATTATGCATAACGAGCGAGGAGTTCCTGAAGAACGGCCGAACGTTCACCATGCCGACGAGCCTAGCACCTGGCAATTACTCGGTGCGCGTGCACGCGACGAGCTTGGCCGGGCCAGGAACTCCCACGCCGATCCACTACTTCGACATACCCGATTACTCCGTGAGCATGCCCCTTTGGAAGTTCGTCTTGGTTTTATTCTTGTGCACTTCCATGGTCGTGGGCACTGCCTCGGGTGGCTTGTACTACTGCAACCGTAAGTTCTTGAACGGCCCCAACAACAACGGTAGCGTCAAGCTCATCGCCACGGTCAATCCGGAATACGTGACAACGTACACGGCCGACGAGTGGGAGGTGCCGCGAGACAAGATCGAGATACTGAAGGAGCTCGGCGCTGGCTCCTTCGGCATGGTGTACGAGGGCATTGCCAGGGATCTCGTCAAAGACAAGCCCGAGACCAGGTGCGCCATCAAAACTGTCAACGAGAATGCCTCCGATAGGCAAAAGCACGAGTTTCTCAACGAGGCTGCTGTCATGAAGTTAGTATATTACATTCTTCCCCCCCCCCTCCTCTTTTTCACTTTTTCCCTTAACTGCATTAGTTCAGTGGTTTAACCGTGCAATCATGTCCAATTGCAGGGGCTTTCAGTCGCACCACGTGGTAAGACTGCTCGGCGTTGTGTCAGAGTCCAAGCCCACCTTGGTCGTGATGGAGCTGATGCTTTATGGCGATCTCAAGTCTTACCTGCGCAACCATCGGCCTGACGAAGGCCACGAGGAGCCACCGCCGTCGTACGAGCGCATCATGCAGATGGCGATCGAAGTCTCGGATGGCATGGCCTACCTTGCCTCGCGGAAGTTTGTCCACCGTGATCTCGCGGCGCGCAACATCATGGTCTCTGAGGATCTGACCGTGAAGATAGGAGACTTTGGCATGACCAGGGACATTTACGAGACGGATTACTATAGAAAGGGAACCAAAGGCCTGCTGCCCGTCAGATGGATGCCACCCGAGAGCTTGAAGGACGGTGTCTTTACCTCCATGTCGGATGTGTGGAGTTTTGGAGTGGTACTTTATGAAATGGTGACTCTGGCCTCGCAGCCCTACCAGGGCTTGAGTAACGATCAGGTAGGACTTGGCAACGTGAATTTTAATAAGCATGATGCAATGGTTTCATCGTTTTTTTCCAATTATTCGTAGGCTTTGAAGTACGTGATTGGTGGCGGTGTCATGGAGCGACCGGATAACTGTCCATTGTACATCTACGAGTTGATGAGACAGACTTGGATGTACAAGCCAAGTGAAAGACCGACTTTTATCGATCTCATTGAGAAGCTTCTGGAATACATAAACGTCGAGCCTTTCAAGGAAGTCAGTTTTTACCACAGCTTGGAGGGCACAGAAGCCAAAAATCACAACGATCTGTACAAAGGCAATTTAAGGTGAGTAATTACAACATCAAAAACCTCCATCATTGTTCTCATTGATAGAAATAATATGGCGTAATGTGTATCACCTTTGCAGTAAAATGGCGATGGAAAACCATCAGCGAGCAGTTAAAAGGAACCAACAGATGAACATGCTCGAGACGCACAGCGAAGCTCCAGAGGACGCGGGCGAGAGCTCGCCGTTGCGCCAGGATTTCAACCAAGATTTCTCATCGTCGTTCGATCCGTTGAACAACGGCAAAGCTACCACGGAAACGAGCATAGCTCCATTGATGGAGAGCCACTACAGCATGGAGCCATTCGACTTCCACAAAACAGTCTCGAACTCGCCGCGCGCTCCTCTCGGTTTTCTGGACCTCGATTCGTCGAAAACGCCACTGAAAGCCGGCTTCGATGATTTTGACGTCGTATCTTCGGCCGCAGCCTCGCTCGCATCCAGCAAGGACACCCTGAATTTGCCCTTTGTCGAGGACAACGTCGGCTCGGTCAAGAGTTCCCCCTACAACCGCAAAGAGTCGTCTTCCCGTGGCAGCGTGAGCCAACGCTCGGCCAGTAGGACGTCGCTCAGTCCTCAGAGCCCCAGTATTATGGTTGGCCCGAGTAGTCCCGGTTGGTATTTTATTACTTAAAGGTTTTTCTTGTACTTCGTACCTACACAGTGTACACTGAAATTATCATTCTTTGTTTTATTTAATAGGAAACAGACCAAGCCCGTCGCTAGTCGCGAGCAGCCGGTCTGACCTCGAGTCGGATAACCGCAGCCCGAATTACGAGAACCACAGTCCCGAGCTCGTGCAAGGCTCGTCACAGTTTCACGGCAGCCGCACGAGCTTGCGAGTCGGTGGTAGCAACAGCGGCAGTAGCTTTCCCTCGATGGATACTCTCAACTCGATCGATCTAGCGAGCAGTCGTCGTCGTGGCACCAGCTCCTCGCCCTTGGCCTCGATAACGACGCCGACGCCGCTGCTGACGGTCAATATGGATTCTTTGTCTGTCATTCAGCAGCGAGACGGCAAACAGCAGGAACTGGAACAGCCGGTCGTCCCGACGAGTTTAAACAATGGGTACATAAGCGGCGGACCGGCCACGTAGCCATGCGTGCCGGCCGCCACCGCCGCCGGCAGCGTTCGCAAACCCGTCAGCACTTGAGGGCCCAATCCTCTCGTAGTAGCCACCTTTTCCTAATGCCGTTGAATAGTAACGTAAACCCCCTCCTCGTTTCGGGATGCTCGGTGCGCTCCTTAAATATTTCCTATATCTCGCAATACTCGTGTAAAGCGGATTTCTGTGTTGCTACGTGACTGACGTAATAATAGTATGTATATAGCCTCGATCGATGACCGCAGCGTCATGCTTGGGCTGAATTTGACGAGTTTTCGGCTTTTGTATACGAGTGAATCCAATAATATTTGGTGCATCGGAAAGACTGAAGTCTATTGCTGACTGTAAAAAAAAATTGTTTATTTTTCACGAATAACTATACATACGCGCGCGCGCGTGTGTGTGCATCTACATGTACTATATATACATGACAAATTTAGCTGAAGTTGGGCCGCTGATTTTCACTCTTTCAACGATGAAGCAAAATACAAAAGAGACATCCCGGTTTTTTTTTTAGACTCTCTTACTCTCGTTCTTTGTTTTTATCGTAATGTAAAGCGAGTACAGAGCGTTGTATATTGAAATGATGTATTTTTTGAGTTGACTATTGTATGTACAAGGTTTAATCATTCTTACTTTTGGGGGAAAGACACGTACTTTTAAAAGTTTTCTAGAATATCACGGGATCAGGAAGCTTAATGAATTCGATTTGTATCTTATTGAATTGTTTGATGTTTATGAATTATTTAATTTTCGTTTTATTAGAGTTTAAACTTTATGTAAGTTTTTGAACGGAAACAAAAAATAATTTATGAAATTAAAAATTTATCGGAAAATTATGTTTAACCATACATTATATTTTGTTATTGTAATTCGGTATTATTATAATTAAGAGTATTTATAACGCTCATTGTTAATATTAATAATTAACATTAAGGGATAGCTTTAATAAAAAAAAATTAATTTAACTTTTATAAATATTGTACTTTAAAAATTTTTATTCNTATTAGTACTGAATTAATAGTAATAAATGATGAACAAAATGTTTGAAAAAAAAAAAAAAAAAAAAAAATATCGATAGCCATATTACTGCTTTTCAAACTTCTGTTATTAGCAGTTGACTATAAATTATGCATGAGAATCTGTATTAAAACTACACCGTTTTAACGCGCGTAGCTAGTTTTTTCATTAGACAGTCAAAATCACAAGATTATAAAAAAGCCAATAAATTTGTACGTCTAAACTAGGGATTAAAATATTTTGAAATCAAGAAAAATAATTTTTTTTTTTTTTTTTTTTTTTTTTAACATCAAGATAAAATCTAGAGAAACAAACAAATTACATTTCATTTCATTGTAATTAACGTGTTCCGGTATTTTCACTGATTCCGTCTCCTAGAATCGAGTAGGGAAAAAGAAAGACTGTATTTTTTTCAACAGAAACTCCTACTGTTTTACTAGCGTTTCCCCTCAATCGTAGGAAAGCGTCAGCGACGCATTGTCCCCGAAAAATCCCAGCCTCACGGGGTAATAAAAAAAAGGTGTTACTGTACATTTGTAATCGAATCGCAACTAACGGATCATCGCACGCCTCAATCGATTATGCATATGAAAATTCACACATATATTTAATTACCGTTTTACACGTTCTTTTTTTACAAAATCACATCGCCTAGTGTTGATGAAGATGTATATA